CGGCCCCACTTACCTCTCCGAACGCATCTCCTCCTACGAACCGGGAAGAGCGTTAAGATCTTCCGGGGAGGCTCTGTTCTCGGTTACGCCGGCGTCACAAGTGCGGCTGGCGGGCACGAGAGACAGGGCCTTCTCGGTGGTGGCCCCTCGGCTATGGAATGCGTTACCGGTGGACATCAGGCAGGCCCCTTCGTTACTGGTGTTTCGGAGGAGGGTGAAGACGTGGCTCTACGAGCAGGCTTTCGGCAACTAACTCAATAATGACGGCATCGGACAAGGAATGGAAAAAGGATCTTGAGATCGGAATCTGATTCTAAGTGTGGCGTTGATGATTATGTGTTTGTCTGTATTGTGTGTCTCATACATTGTTTAGTGTTGCTTTTTATTGTAAACCGCATTGAGTCGCCGCCTCAGGCTGATATATGCGGTATACAAATAGAGTAAATAAATAAATAAATAAATAAATAAATAAACTACATTCCCCAGAATTCTGCTCAGCATCAGAAAGCCCCAATCAGGATGGGAGAGAGATTGGTCCCTCCATAGCAGTAGTCAGCCAGAATTGCAATAAATTGTTGAATCTGCAAAGAGGAGGACTGACTGATACTTCTAGTAAGTAAATGTCTGTGCTGGGCTAGGAATAAATTTCAAAATTGAAGTTATATTGGTTAATAAAAATGTTGTTTATAAAAAATTTGAAAATTCTCCAAAAATCTGTGGATAAGTGAAATGCACTGAAACTTGATGGGCTAACTGGTAAATGTTTTCTACCATCTTAGCAAGTTTCACCCCAATAGCTGTAAAAATGAGGGAGAAAGGAGCCCCTGAAGTTTCCCCACTTCCTCAATTACTATAACGAAAAAGTAACAAAATATAGTTACTCTTGAAATTTTTACTAATGATACTTTAGAAACACTTTAGAAATGAAATGGCAGTGGGTTTCTAAAAAGAGACTAGGTTATCCGCTGTGAGTGCTTTGATCATGTATTCCTCTGTGGCAGGATGGGGTTCGACTGTATAGCCCTCGGGATTTCTTCCAATTCTATGGCTGGATATGTGCTGCCAAATAATGAAGTTTAGTTATTGTAGACCCATATAACACAGTTTAGATTTGACCTTTGATTCTATAGTTCTCAAAAATTTCAGTAACATTTAATACATATTGCAAGCCCTGGCAGACCACACATAGCCCTCCATGCTCCTAAAGAGGTCTTTACTATTGTATCTGACTAGGGACCTGGTGTTTCTCATCAGCACATAGATGCACATTTGTTATTTTTATACAGGCAGGGAATAATATTCTGATGTTACATGTATTTTGAGAGCTCACAATTGCCTTCTCTAATCATATTCATGATATAGTTTTTGCAACTCAGGACAATTTGATTTGACATGAAATTCTGTTTTGCTCCCTCGTAACAACTTTAATAGCATTCTACAGGCTAGACATTTTATCAAGCTGTCTACTTTTTCTGATGTTCCTATTAAGGTCTATTTTATAGAACAAAGAGATATTAGCACTTGCCTATTTTAGCACAACCGAGTGAACAATTTCAGCTTCATTTACTTGAGGGAAATTTTTGACAATCTCTGTAAAACCAAATCGCAACAGCCACTATGTTGTGACTTGATTTCCCCTCCCTTACCTTCCACTTTTTTATTCTTTAAAAAATTGATGTAACATTGATTGACATTGCAACAGTAGTCCGTGTCAAAACCAGTCTTACTGTGAAGTGCCATGGAGACTTGCTTTGCAAAGCAAGGTGCAAGAAGGATCCTCTTTCCTTTCCTTTCCTTTCCTTTCCTTTCCTTTCCTTTCCTTCCCTTTCCTCCCCTTCCCCTTCCCCTTCCCCT